CAATTATCTAAATCGAATTCAGTCGAACGAAAGTCAGATCAAGGAAACCTTTCCTAAACCTTATCCAACCGTTATTCCGATGTCCAACCTGTATGAAGAATTCATGTTACTTTTGATGAACTTGTGAAAGCTATCACATCTAAAGCTAAGGCAATAGATAATAAAGTCGACGAACTTAAGAAGATTATCGATGATGCTGCGAATGACTTGACTCGACAACCATCCACTGTGAATAAACCTCGAGACACACACACTACTTTATAGTGGGAGAATTTTGGGTCTAACACACATTTCCAGGGGGAGGATGCTACACCTCTAACCACAAATGCTTCTCTGTAGAGGGAGGGTTTTGCATCACCCATTTCTATTGAGTATCCTTCTGATAGAGATTGTTACCCACCAACTATTACCCATGAACATCCCTTCGCAGGTGATGATTCAATTCCTGAGGTCAACAAGTTTGCATCATTCGACGGGGAGAATAAAGAAGCGAATGACGACTTGAACGTTCAATCTGTTCAATCTGAATTCGAGGAAGTAAATGTTGAGCTAAATCCACACTTGGATCCTAATTATCCTGTATGACCAAATGGACAAGAGATCATCCAAAAGCTCAAGTTATTGATGAATCCTCTGCAACTGTCCTTACCCGTTATAAACTGAAAGCGAAGTAAATTGCATTATTCTCCATAGTAGAATTTTGTATGTTGAATTCGTTCGTATCTAAGATTGAATCCAAAAATGTCAACACTGCTCTCAATCATTCTGACTGGGTGCAAGTGATGCAAGATGAACTCAATGAGTTTAAACGAAACAAAGTTTGGAGACTGATTCCAACTCCCTTAGATGCATCGGTTGTTGGTTTAAAATGGGTGTTTCGGAATAAAATGGATAAAGAAGGGAATGTGATCAGGAACAAAGATAGGCTTGTGGTCAAAGGTTATTTCCATGAAGAAGGGATTGAATATGAAGAGACCTTCGCACCCGTTACAAGGTTGGAATCTGTTCGTATCTTCGTGGGATATGCAGCACACAAAAATTTTGAAGTTTTCCAAATGGATGTGAAGTGTGAATTCTTAAATGGTGAACCGGAAGAGACCGTTTATGTGGATCAACCACTTGGATTTGTAAACGGAAAATATCCCAAACACTGTTATATTCTTGACAAAGCAGTTTAAGGTCTAAAGCAAGCTCTAAGAGCCTGGTATGAAACACTAACTCGTTTTCTTAAAATGTCCAAATTCAAGCAAGGTTCGATTGAACCGACCTTCTTTTGCAAGAAAGAGGGTGACCACTTGATTATCGTACAAATTTATGTTAATGACATCATCTTCGGATCTACTAATCCTAGCCTAACATTTGAGTTCCGAAAGCTGATGGAAACTAAGTTTGGTATGACCTCAATGGGTCCAATTAACTTTTTTCTTGGATTAAACATTAGATAGGGACTGGAAGGAATTTTCATCAATCAGGGAGTTTACACGAAGACCCTACTTGCTAAGCTTGGAATGTTGGGAGAGTCAAAGAAGAAGGTTCCAATGACATTCAGAACAAAACTAACTCCTTCGCTGCATAAACCAACTGTTGATATGACTCGTTATCATCAGATGATAGGTTCACTCATGTATCTAACAGCTAATAGACCACATATTATGTTTTTCAGTTTGTTACTGTGCTAGGTTCCAAGCCAACCCACTTGAACCTCATATGGTGGCTGTCAAGAATATCTTCTGGTATCCAAAACGAACTTCATCTCTTGGAATATGGTATCCTGCGAACTCAGGTTTTTTTGTACAAGCATTTTCATATGCTGACTTAAACAGTTGCGGTTCTGTTGGAAAAAGCACAACGGGTGGATGCCAATTTTTTTGATGGAAAGCTGGTGAGTTGGCAATCAAAGAAACAAACATGCATTTCGTTGTCAACAGCTGAGGCTGAATACATAGCTACAACATCGTGCACATCTCAAGTCATTTGGATTCAAAGCCAACTTCGCGATTATGGCTTAATTATGGAAAGAATTTCTCTCTATTGTGACTCCGAAAGTGCCATTCACATTTGACACAACCTAATGCAACACTCAAAGACGAAACACATTGCATTGAGGTATCACTTTATCAAGGATCATGCGGAAGATGATAATGTCGAGATTTATTTCGTAAGATCCGCTAATCAATTGGTCGGCATATTTACCAAGGCCCTACCTGAAGCAATATTTAATAGAATCCTTCAAGGACTAGGAATGATGGAAGCTGATTCTGTACCAAAACCACTTTCGCACTCATAAAATCTTCATTACGAATCGCTGTGAACGTTAGCTGGTTTTCGCAATCAACTGTTCATTCACAGTCTGTTTTATGGATGTGAATCAATGCGAACGTTCGTAGTAGTTCGCAGAGCATTCTTCATTTATGGTTTGGTATTTCATATATCCTTTTATAAATTTTGTATATCTTTGCTTATCTTTATTTTCAATTTGTATATTTTATTTTTTACTTAATTTATCTTTTTTAATTTTATTTCATTTTCAGAAAATCTCCAAAAACCAAAAATAATTTATTTGTTTTATTTTATTGTTTTTAGAAAAATCAAAATAACAAAAATATTTTAATTTGTGTCTATTTTTATTTCTTTTCTTGTTACAAAATATCAAAAATTCCAAAAATTATAGATTCACACCAACATCATACACGAAGATGTTTGCAACATTTATCAACTCGTGCGACAGGGCATGTATAAATATCATTACTTATGTATTAGTTATGTGTCCATAAAAGCATGTTGTTGCATGTTGACCTAAGCCTCCACGACTCAATTGTGAAGCCTTAATGAGTTGATACCACCAATCAATTCTTCTAAATCAAGTTGTGAATTCACATTATTCATGAGCTACCTTACTCTTCTCACATTGAGTTAAGAGTTATTTGCATGGTCACTTTCGTATTGCAGAGGTACTTTCACCTTCTTGTAACTAGGGGTGTCAATTTATGACACGACACGACAAAAATACACGAAACGAAACGAAATCGGGACGAAATAAAAATTCGAATTCGTGTTCGTGTCGTTTTCGTGTCAAGATTAAAAGACACAATGTCGTGTCGTATCGTGTTCGTGTTCATAAATCGACACGGAATTGACACGATTAAGCATGTGGTTGTCGTGTTTTTCGTGTTTGTCGTTTTTGTCGTGTTATATATCTGTAAGTATGAACGAAATACACTAATAGTTATGTAATATTATCTTTGTCGTGTCGTGTCGTGTTGCCGTGTTTTAATTGGTTCGTTTTCGTGTTAATGAAAAAAAAACACGACATCGTGTCGTCTCGTGTTCGTGTTATACAAAAACTTGTCGTGTCGTGTCGTGTCAGACAAAAACACGACACGACTGCCCGATTTGACAGCCCTACTTGTAACCATCTACTCTCTTCTCCATCACTTTCACTTATATACATGTAACCCTTGAGACTCTCAGAAATTACCACTGAGGTTTATGGTTACACAAACATCTGTGCTAATGATCTTAGTTTCGTTCTACCATGACTAAGTGAAACCTATAATTCAATACCTTGTATGAATTGATGGTGAACAATCAAACGTTCTAGTATTTTCACCCAAGAATTAATGAAAGTCTACGTTCGTGGTCAGTACCAAGAAATATCTTTTCTTTTGAGATATCCTAATGAAGTGTTCTCTTCCCAAGACATTTCTTCTAATGGATCCATTTTTTTTTTGAGATTTCACTATTTTTCCAAGTCACTTAAATACATTCCAAACCTATTCGTTCAACTGACTACACTGGTCACACGAGTACCTTTGCCAACTTTCGCACTTATGTCAAGTTCGTAGTTTGGATGAAGGATGAACCACCTTTATAAGCCTTATTAAAAGATCCCTTTCAGTGTTTCTCATCAAACATTTGATCGTATTTAAAAGGAAACCATAGAGGCACTACTTAGTCTCTCTTGACTATGAAGGAAGAGATCTTTGCCTGGGATCCATAAATTTATGTCTCTAGTTAGACATCACGGCATCCCACAGATAAACTTCATTTTATTTCCTTTTCTTTAACACTCTTGCACGAAGATCCTAGTGATTTTCCAAAAATATTGTTCGTGGTTACAAATAATTTTCAGGTTCGGAGTTGTATGACTTCATCGTGCTTTCTTTACTGCGAAAGAAGATGAGCTAACGCGACAAGTTTTAAGAATTCAAACGGGCACGTGAAAAGTTGAATGGACAGATAGTAATACGTTGCATGACGCATGCATATGAGTTATCACAGCTGTCAAATCACGCTTTTTCAAGCAACGGTTCAGTTTTCAAGATACTCTCTCTCCGGATTTTCCTTACTAAATCAAATTGTATATAAGGGTTTTGACGGTTCCATATCTCTTTACCACTTTCAAAATCTCTAAACAATTTCTGGCGATCACAAAGCTCTCCACTGTTCATCTTCATTTTTAAGCATCATCAATGGCAACTTCATCAAAAAATCTTTCAGTTCAAGGCCAAACTGCTCATTCATCTCTTCTGGCTATTAAGGAACATCAAAACCTCATCGTCGATCTGGATCCAGTTAGATATGATCCCTTTCTACTACCTCTGATCGAGTGCCTAAAATACTCCCCGCTCTCCATTGCTTTGACTCAACTTGAGAATGTTCCACTATCGATTCTCTCCAAAGCATACACAACTGCCAACTATGTCAAGGAAGAACAAAGGATATACTTCGACATCCATAATCACTCAACCTCGATTTCCAAAGCCTGTTTCTGCAATCTGTTAGGGTTTCCTTAGTCTGAAAACATGGTCAACCCAGAAACCATCCCAAACGTTGCTATCCTGGAAATGTTTTATCAAATGGGGTACAAGGAAACTCTCATTGCTGTTTCCTAGTTCAAGAAACCCAATCGTCCACCTACTTGGAATGCCCTATTCACTATCTTGTTCAAAGCTTTTTCTTAAAGGGTCACTGGCAATGATTGTGCAAGCAAGCTTTTCATGGGTCTGATGTATTGTCTGTATACTGGTCTAAATGTTGACTATGGTATCATTATGGTGGATAGGTCAAAGTTTTCCTTCATTGGCTCGATTCCGGAGGTTATGTTTCGTGATGTTCCTCCCACCAGTAAAATTCTAGAGGGTTATCGTGCTCCTACTCCTTCAGGACCTCATCCATTGTCTGATGAATTTCAAGAAATTTTGGCTGAGGCAGATAAAGCCAAGAAAGGGGGCAGAGGTTCAAAGAAAGCAACCCAGAAAGACACTGCGAAAGAAGGACCTTTTGAGGTTTCCAAACCTCCATCTAAAAAGTGAAAGGATCCTACTACTTCAACTGCTGCACCAAAGCGAAGGAAGCAGCCTGCTAGAAAGCAAAATCTCCCACTCCTACTCCATCCCAGAGTGAAGTAGAAAATTCTGATTCCGAAAAGGAGTCGGAGATTCGCATTGAGGAGGATCCCCCTATTTGTAATGAAGAAGATGAGCCCGTTTGTACTTAAGAACAACAATATGTTTGCAATGAGGAAGGAGAACAGATTCACAACGAACCACCTATTCTCACTGAGGCTACATCTATGAATCATGAGGTATCTCCACCACTTAATGATTATGTTCCTCCTCTACCTCCCTGACCAAAAACAACTGCTTCTATCCCAATCACCATCACACATATGCCACCACCAATATCATCTCAACCATCCACAACTATTCTAGTCTTAATCCATATTTTCACTGAATCCACCATTTCACACCACACCTCTACTACACCAGCAAGCTCAGTCAACGTATCTGATATGGGGGCTAAAACTTTTGGTTTTTCAAGCCATGTTACAGTACTCACCTCTCCCATTCGCACTGATGACTCTGAAATGCTTTTCAGAGATGATGATTTGGATAGATTCGCTTACAGTCCTTTTCAAATAATGATTGATGAAGAAGATGAAGTTTCTACTATGAAAGGAGAACTCAAATCTCTTCATGAGAAGATTGACCAGCTGCTTCTTGCATTCCAAGTCTCCACCTCTGAGGTTTACTCCAAAGCCGTTGTTGAATCAATCCTTGAGTGAGTTACGAAGGAACATTCTGCCAATGTCTCTACTTTGTCCAAGGTAGTTTCTGACTCTACTAATGTCTGAAAGGCTATGACTGAAAAAGTTCATAAACTAATTGTTGACATGATGGAATTCATGGAGGATTACAAAACCACCTACAACGCCAACACAGTGACTGCGAACAAGTCCATTCAGCACGTTGGTGGCTTGTTCCAAACGGAAAATGCGAACTTTGTTCAGCTTTGCAAGGCGCAATAGTCTGATCATGAAACATTCCAATCTTCTATCACTGCAAAAATCACAAAGCTTCAGAAGGATCTGGCGACAAAAAATAAGATCAATGATGCTCTTGCATCAAGGAGGAAAAGTGTAAAATGTTGGAAACCAAGCTTCACTACGCTGAAAAGCAGGTCGATGATTTGCTAGCAGAGAAGGCAATCACGCGCAGTTGTATCTCCGACGTTACTGGACTGCTCTCTGGTATCACTGAGACTCATGATCCCATGATCTCCATAACAGTAAAGAAGCATTTGTCTGAAATGCTAAGACCGGTGTTTGCTATGTTACACCGATTGGAGGGTGTTTCGAAACCGATGCATTTTCCAAAACAAGGGGAGAAGGCAGATCCAAAGATCAAACGAATGAACTCCCCAAAGCTCCAATTAAACCTCCTATCATCAAGCAAGAACCAAAGAAGAAAGAAAACTTATTCAATGAAGAACCCGTTGTTGATGATAGTGAAGACGAAGAGCCTGATGAAGCTGAGCTCAAAAGGCGGGAGGCTCACGAGGCATAGATTGATGAACATGATCGCATCATCAGAGAGGCAGAAGAAAAAGAAAGAGCTAAAAAGGAAGCTCAAGCCATTCTCAAAAGCAAAATGTTGTTATTTCCAAAGTGGACCCTGAAGCACATGCAAAACCAAGCTATGGATATGCCAAGCCAATATTTGTTGGATCTAATTGCTTCTTTTGAAATCCAAAACACACATGATTTGCAATTGGACCTGCCTATCACACCAAAGGCTTTCAGGTTTTGTGCCTTTCTAAAGGTTGCTAATGTTCCTTTTACAGACAGCACTGTGGATCAAATGTTGTTTGCCTTCTACTTGAAGCACATGAAGCCCCAATACGAGATTTGGAGTGCGAGCAAGATTATTTCTATGAAGGTCACAAGGCCGATCGAGACATAAAGCTTCCCTAATGCGAAGTTTAAAATTACGAGAGAATCAGCATCTCAAGCCTGCGAATTCACTCTCGTAGACCTGCCTTGTTTGAAACCCCCATGATTGGATGGTGATATCCAATATTCTGTTGAGAAACAAGGAAAAGTACGAACCTGTGGTGTCCCATCTTCAACTTTTGATCAAGTCATATATTCAAGAAGTTGGAATGATGGATGTGGAGATTGCCACTGTTTTGAGGCAAAAACTAAGTACTGTTCCGAAGGAAGCTCTGAAAGACTTCCAAAAGCTCAAGCTAGGAAAAAATTTCAAGGAAGGATGGTTTGTGATGTACACGTCTAGAGATCATCCAGGAGCAGATCGACACAAGTTATACTTTCATCTTGAAGACAAACACTTATTTACTACTTCCTGTCTGGAGTTTATTTTGGAGCTGGTTGCGAAGTTTAGAGGAAACAACAAGGACAATGTAAAGTGTTTCACTGGTGTGATCACTTGGTATATTCAAGTTCGCAAGCTTCTGTTGAGATTCACTCCCAAAGTCTATAAAGTGTAGAAGCGAATCAAGATCTAAATGACTATGGTCTCAATTGACGCAAAGAGGTAGATTGTTGAAGATTTAGTGTTGCGTCATTGGGCCTATTTTGTTAAGTCCATTTTGTATAAACGAGTTAGGCCTATCCTCTTGTATTTACTGCTAGTGTTATATAAGGTGCATGCATTAACTCTGATAATTATCTTTGTAACCTTACTTTATGCCTTTACAGAAGCAATTCTTCATTGAGTTCTTCTGAGGCGTGACTATTAATCATTCAGCACCAGTTTGATCATATCGTGTTCTAGTTTACCTGTTTTAATCTATTTGATCATTAAGGATTTATTCTTATCAGTCTTCTTCTTCATCTTCATCCTCCTCAGGATCCTCTTCAGGATCATCTTCAACCCAACCATTATTCCTTTGATCAGGGAAATGGGATCTCCATGCGGGAGATATCTTGCCATAATGTCTGTATGAGAATAGAAAGAATGTAAACATGTTGGTTTATAATATTACAAAATACTCCATTAGTATTTTAAATTATAAAGGTTCTCTGTATGGTTTATTTGTAAGTTTTAGACTTGTTGCAACACCACGATCACTCCCAAACACATGTTGTTCATATCTCAAATAAATATAGTTCATCAGGCTATATTTATTCCAGATATGATTACATAATTGTTTAGGTTTGACTGTAGTGTTCAACATCTGAATAATTATCTTTTGTTCTTGTTGTGATACTTGTCCTAGTATGTAAGCATGTATATAAACTTTTATAAAAATATTATTATATTTTAAAAGTATAAATCTTGGTCAGGGTGCTTTAGTCCCATTGTATTTATAGTTATATATCTTTTATGGTTTGATACACTTAGTACACTATAAACAATACTCTGATACCAATCTATCACACCCTCATACTTGAACGGCGAAAACATTCGGGGGCAGAGGACGTCATGTATAGTACCACAACAATTGCATAATAGTAATCAAAGTAACAACAACCATGCATTCATAAAATATAAGTGTTTACATATATATTCAAAACATTGTATTTTAATACCAAAATGTATAAACAATAGTTTAAAAGACATGAGTCTATAATACTCCGTCTTCTCAAAAGCTCGTGGTTGTACCTGTTTTACCGTTTTCCTGAGAATACAAGTTATTTTAGAAAAAGTGTCAACATTTAAGTTGGTGAATTTATAAACATTTATATGAAAATATATGCCATTCAATGAGATGAAACCACGTTTTTTTTCCAGAAAATCTGATATTTTCTCTAAATCTGAGTTGTAAGTTGTTTCTTTGTGGTAATCGTATCTATCCCGGAAAATTCTATATTTTCCTTAAAGCTAATTTGTGAACTTGTTTGTGTAGCACCTGGTTCCCGGTATGTATTCCTTGTAATTAATAATTTTTAATTCATGCAATTTGCTTTGGACTCGGCGAGTTGAAGGACCAACTCGCCAAGTAGGAGCGGGATGAGACGCGGGGTCTAAGCCTCAGACATGGCGAGTCGGTTCCTGGACACGACGAGTAGGCCCTGTTTGGGAAAAAACCCTAACCCGGGTGTTTGCACCCTATTTAAGCACTGTAACTCGGCCTCCTTTATCCCTAACACTTGCAGAAGAGATGTAGAGTGAAACCCTAGCCCCTTTGTGTCCTTGTGAGTGATTTTGTCCTTGTAAAGGAAGTTTGAAGCCTAAGAGAAGGAGAAGGTGGTGGAAGAGGGAAAGGAGGAGAAGTAGTCTGACATCTACCCTACAAGAGGCTTCCATTCAGGTAGAAAAATCCCTACCTTGATCACTAGTTCATTAGATTCCCTTTTTGTCCCTGATTGGTGGTTTTCAAGCCCTAAAACACCAAAATCCATGTGTTTATGCTTAATGATCCGAAAGGACTTCAGATCTAGACCTTATGGATGTATTAGAAGTATAAAGTTTATATGGTTGAAGTGATTGCGGTCCCCATTGAGTGTATGACCTCATAAACAGCTTGGATTTGCCTTTTGGAGCTTGTAGGGCCATGCATGCACATAAAGTTTGCAACTTTACGTGATAAGCATGCCCTAGGAACATAGATCTATGGTTTTGAAGCGTTGCATGTATCAGATTTGGTCTATATTGGCATTACAAGGAGGCCTTCAGCAGCTGGCGATTGGTTTAAGTGGAGTCAGAGATTTTCCTAGGGTAGGCCTAGGATAAAGATAAAAATGGTAAAAAGGGATCTGGTGCAGTCAAGGAAGTCCTTGAAGAAGATACGGATAGATGTGGAAGGTAGTATGGGCCCGTAGTACTGAAAGCAGAGGATCCGTACCCGAATTAAGGAAGGCTGAGGCAAGACCAGGGAATTTGTAATAGATGTGGTCCCTTTAAGAGGTATCAGTATCACTAATGGTTCTGTGTGTATTGTAGAATGATGGTACTACGATCGAGGCCATCAGTTGACAGTTCAGGAGAGGGATCAGGTTCGGGATCAGGTTCCGAGCTAGGGGATGAGAGGCTACGTGAGTTCATTGCGTCAGAGATCACCAGGGGCATCCTTGAGTCGACTCCCATTATCTTCGGGTCGATCAAGGAATGGATAGTTGAGTTGATGGAGGATCGCCTCAGGGAATTCAGGAGCGACATTGCATCTGTCCATTTGGGAGATACGCATCAGGGCGTTTGAGAGATAGAGCTAGAGACTGGTGGGGACTCTGTTGCTGACTCATTGGGAGCCTCGGCTGTCGAGGCTATGACCTGGTCGGACTTTGTGACCAGATTCAGGGCAAAGTTTGCGTTGGCTTTCGAGCTTCAGCAGCTGGCCAGGAATTTTTTAGATATGAGGCAAACGACAAAGACTGTGGTGGAGATCACCGCCAAGTTCCGGGAGAGGGTGTTGTTAGTGCCCCAGTATGTAGGGATGAGGATATGAGGAGGACACGCTACCATGACATGCTACGGGCTGACGTTCGGGAGCATGCTTGTTTTTTAGCTTGCCCTACCCTGGATTCCATGATTTCCAAGGCTAAGGAGAGGGGAGATTGATCTGGAGCATATCCAGAAGAGGAAGGTAGAGGAGGGACAGGTTACAGGGGCTTCGGGGAAGAAGCTCAAGGGATCAGATGCTGGGCCAAAAGGCTAACATGGGCGAGGCCGTTGTAGGAAATGCGGCAGGCCACACGAGGGGGCATGTAGACTGGGATCGTCGGGCTGCTACAAGTGCGGCAAGACTGGGCATTTCAGCAGGGATTTTACTACCCTGGCACCAGTTATTCAGACGTCTGAGTTGTTGTGCTTCCACTGCAACCAGAGGTGCCACAAGAAGTCCAATTGCCCGCAGTTGATAGCAGCATCAGCGCCAGTAAAGGTGCCTGCTCCAGCGACTCTGTGGATTACAGATGGCCGGCGATTCGGGCCTTTTAGCTGACTACAGAGGAGGCACATGCCACACCCGATGTGGTGACGGGTATGATTCCTTATTTATGCTTTTATGTTATGTTGTTGTAATTTTGATATGTTATATGTATGTGCTCTGCTTAGGATCGTTCCACATGAACGATATCCCAGTTCAGGTGTTGTTCGATTCGCGGGCTACCCGATCATTTGTTTCTCTTGCGCTTAGCAAGAAGTTTCCTGAGTCTTCGGGCAGGTTGGATTTCCCTTTAGAGGTGGAGATTGTGGACGACCGGTCGGTTCGAGCATCAAAGGTTTTCCGGGATTGTGTATTGAGATTGTTTGAGGAGCGGTATCTGGTTGACCTGGTTCCCATTCCGTTGCGGGGAAACAAGGTCATTATTGGTATGGATTGGCTGAGCCCTAATGGAGCAGTGATAGACTGCGCGCAACAACTAGTGCGAGTCAGAGCCCCAGGTGGGCGAGAGTTGGTGATTTAGGGTGAGAGACTACAGCGAGGGTCAGCCTTATGTTCGGCGGTGAAGTCAAGGCGCTACCTTCAACAGCCTTGTGCAGGATATGTCGCTTATGTCATAGACTCCCGAGAGGTGGGTAAGGCGATAGGGCGACGTGCCCGTGGTACAAGAGTTTGCGGATGTATTCCCCGAGGAGTTCCTTGGGATACCTCCGGAGCGCCAAGTGGAGTTCAGGATCGACCTAGTCCCTGGTGTGGCTCCAATAGCCAAGGCACCTTATCGGTTGGCTCCACCCGAGATGTAGGAGTTTTCTACGCAACTGCAGGAGCTGCTTGACAAGAGATTTATCAGGCCGGGCAGTTCACCCTTGGGAGCCCCGATTCTGTTTGTGAAGAAGAAGGATGGGTCGCATCGGATGTGTATAGACTATCGGGAGTTGAACAAGGTAACAGTGAAGAACCGTTACCCACTCACGAGGATTGATGATCTCTTTGACCAGTTACAGGGAGCATCTTGGTTCTCCAAGATCGATTTGCGTTCAGGTTATCATCAGATGAGGGTCAGAGAGGAGGATGTGCAGAAGACCACGTTTTGGACGCGCTATGGCCATTATGAGTTCTTGGTGACGCCGTTTAGGCTCACCAATGCTCCTGTCGCGATTATGGAGATCATGAACCGCTTGTGCAGACCGCTGTTGTATCGGTCTGTGATAGTTTTCATTGATGACATCTTGGTTTATTCCAAGATGCGGTAGGAGCATGTGGGGCATCTCCGAGAGGTGTTGGAGACCCTAAGTAGAGAGAGATTATAAGCTAAGTTCTCCAAGTGTGAGTTCTGGTTGCGCGAGGTGCAGTTTCTTGGGCACCTTGTCAACCAGGATGGGATTTTAGTAGACCCGGCCAAGGTAGAAGCCGTGATGAGATGGGAGGTTCCGAAGTCTCTACCTGAGATTCGGAGTTTCCTGGGTTTAGCGGGCTATTACCGGAGATTCATCTAGGATTTCTCTAAGATAGCCGTACCATTGACCAGGCTAACAAGGAAGGCCGTGGTCTTTCGTTGGGGGCCTGAGCAGCAGGTAGCGTTCGAGACACTGAGACAGAGATTGTGCAAGGCGCCAATCTTAGCCCTGCCAGAGGGCATAGAGGATTTTGTTGTGTACTTT